TGAAGCTCATTACCAGCAATTTGGTGCAGCTAAAATACCAGGAGTACCAGCAGGTGCTCAACTCTGATCTTCCACACTGTGAATTCCTGTGGGGTCCAAGAGCCCAAGCTGAACCCACCAAGATGAAAATCCTGCAGTTTTTGTCCAAGGTCAATGTGACCACCCCCAGTGCCTTCCCATGCCATTATGATGAGGCTTTGAGAGATGAGGAAGAGAGATCCCAGGCCACTGCTGCAACCAAGGCTGGCACTACTTCCAAGGCCAGTGCATAGCCAGGACCATGTCCAGCAGTTCCTCCTACCCACAAGTGAGGCCCAATGCAGATTCTTCACTTTTATTGCAAGTGGATAGTCAATGTTCTGAGTAGGAGAGGGTCAGGGTAGAAATAAAGGGTAGAAAGAGTATGTCACTTCTGCTGTCCTGCTCAATATGGGTAACTTGTAGATTTATTTATTTATTTATTATTTATCAAATGTTGTTCATTTAAATGGAGGATTTATTTAACTTCAGAATCTAAGTTTTTGAATGACATGGGCCCCACATTTATTTCTGTTTATCAATTTTAAGAATAAGAGTTTTGGTATTTAGTAAAACAAATTAAAAATCATTAAATTATTTTTTTCTATGATCCACACAAGATAACAGCATTGGAATAGGTATTTTCTTAGACATGTGAAAGAATGCTACATTAAAATAGTTGGGATCATGCAAAAGAGAAGAAATAAAAAGGTAAGAGGTGGTCAATTCTTGGTTCCCTTTTTACTTTTTAGTCCCTACTTATTTTTGTAAAATTCAAAGATAAATACCTGGATTTGCTTGGCTTATTCAAGAACCACATTCCATAAGCCCTACAAGACAGAGCTAATCGAACCCACTTCACAGATGCAGAGCCTGATGCTCACTAAGTTTAGTAGTGTGTCCAAATTCACATGACTGTTAAGGGACAGGGTTGAAACTAGACCCCTGGTCTGAATTAGACTAGAGCTGACACTGTTCCAATTCTCCTCGCTCAAGGCCCACCTTGTGCTCCTTCATTCAGTTTTCTTCTTTCTTCTTAAAAATATATTTCAGACAATAAAAAGAAAGAATCTATGCTCATACTACTGGGTTAGACTACATTCCCAGAGTAATATGAATACCAAAATAAATGAGAGGCATGAATAAAGAAAAGAAAGCTAATACATGGTGACAGTATGATTATCTACAAATGCAATGTAAGATAAGCTCAAAAGATCAGGGTCTCACAAGCTCATCCCAGACATCCCCTTCCCTGTAGTATATAAATCTATCAGAACAGACTTTACTTGTGAATCTAAGCCTGGCTGATGAAGAGAAGGAAAATGTCAGCCTATTTTCCCCCATAAGTCCTTCACCTGTCCTGGGATTCCTGCCTTGTGCTTCAGCCTCCACATCTCACATCACTCCTAGAACAGGGACCAAAGTTTGCTCACAGAAAAATGTTCAGGGGTTTGCAGGGATGTGGCATTTCCCAGGAAGCATTTAATCCAAGACATAGGAGCCAAGAGGAGGACCTCAGTGTTAGAGGGATGGAGAGAACAACACCTCAGAATACAGGGTGTCACACACAGATAAGCTTCCACCTGCTCTAAGACTCAGAAAACCCCAGACAGAACTGCCATGCTGAGCATGCCCTCACTTATTTTTCAGGACGTTCAGGTACTTAAGAGCCCTGGCCTAAGAAGGACAACCTCAGTCAGGTAAGTAGAAGGAAGAGTCCCAATCTCTGATAGATATGAAGGTGAGGACTCTGAATGAGGAATTTTGGAAGGACCCAAACAAAACAGTATGGTTCCATAAGTCTGACTCAGGCTATCAACACTTGGAGGTCTGAAATAGTCTTGGCAGGATGTGGCTCATCCTGACTTCCAATTTGGAGGTCCCCAGAAGTTGAGTGTCTTGATTTGATGGGAGCAGCCTCAGGCTCGCAGAGAATGGAGTCCCAAGACCAGTCAGGTGTCAAGGTGAGGACTCTAAATAAGAATGAGGGAACCACCCATCTCAAAACAGAGTAGTTCCACATATTCCCCTTATGCTGTTGGCCTTGGGGTGTCCAGAAAAGACTTGTGAGGTGGTAGAAACCTGTTATACTCTCAGTAGTGTCTCATGGAGGTGAGGATCTTGGACTAATAGGGACAGCCCCAGATATGCAGAGAGAAACCCTGGGCCTTAACAAGTATCATGGTAAAGACCCTAAGTGTTAACAATGGGACCCCCACCAGCTGATAGAGTCAAACAGAGCCCCATCCAATTCTTGGCCCTGGGAGAATACAGAAGAGCTATGACTGATCACACCTGTGTTGTCTCAGGGTGGGAAGTTCCTTGGTATGAAGGAGGCAGACCCAGTTCTGCAGAAAGAACAGTCTTGGCCTTAATGAAGTTATGAGGACCCTGAGTGCTAAAGACGAAACCTTTCACTAAAATACGGGCCTCACAGACACATCACCCTGCTGTCAAGCTATGAAGCACGGGAAGAAGTGGCCATGTGTTGCATAACCAGCTATATCCTCTAGGGACTCAAGAAGGTGAGGACTTAGTTTTGAAGCTGGCTAACTCCTGTTGCCAGAATGAGCAGTGCCAAGCTGTAATAAATACCACTGTACTCTGAGTTAGGACTGTGAGTGGGGACTCTGAGTGAGGACTCTGAATGAGGACCTAGAGATCACTGATTACTAAACAATGGGGTTTGACAGAGCCACGCCCCTACGGAACGCCCACAAAGACCCCAGCACCGGTGGCCGGATGTGGCTCACTGACTTCCGCTTATCAGCCCAGAACGTTGACCACAGAACGGAGAAACGGCATTTGTTCAGCTAAGAATGGATTTGCAGGACTGATCTGGAGGCACGGTGAGAACGTGAGTGGGAACGTAAGAAAACACACGCCTCGCATTACAGATTGGCCCCAAAACCCTCCCCTCCCCTCCCCTCCCCTCCCCTGTAGCCTGGTTCTGAGGCCCCAGCCAAGATGGCGGACTGTATGCGGCTGGGAAGGTGTTAGGGAGAAGGGCTTCCTCTTCCTGAGTACCCCAGTTCTGCACACGGAGGACTTGTCAGTCCCTGGTCGATTCCAGATGAGGAACCTGAGAGGGAACATAAGAAAACATGCCTCCCATTACAGATTGGACCCCCCCCCAACCCTTCACCCCCCTGCAGCCCAGCTCTGAGGCCCCAGCCAAGATGGCGGACTGTACGAGGCTGGGAATGTGTTAGGGAGAAGGCCTTCCTCTTCGCGAATAGCCCCGATGCCGCAGATATAGGACCTCTAGGCCTGAACTGCAGCCAAGATGAGTGCCCTGAGTGCTTATGAGCGGGTCTCTACACATAAACGGGGCCACACCGGGCAGTGCCGCTGCACTGAGCTCTAGGCGGCACCAGGCAAGCTAAATGCCAAATAGCAAATAAATTCACCTCTCAGGCCAGAAATGGTAGTGAGGGCAGCCCCGAGACTTCCCCAGCTGAACAGAGGCGGCCCTGGGTTGGCTGGCAGGCTGCGGGGGCCCCTCATTTCCTCTGGGTGTGGTATCAGGGAGGGAGGGCCTCGGTAGAATGGAAGAAATTGCCTTGGTCTAATGCAGGAAGTCTATTTCACCAAAAGGGACCCACTCCCAGTTAGTATTCAGGGTTGTGACACTGAGTGAGGATTGGGGACCCCTGCCTCCCAGAAAGTAGGGAACCACATAAAGCCCCAGCTCTGCTTGCACACCTGGGAGACTGAGGCATGTTGACGTGATGAGTTGCACTCACTTCTTCCCTGCACATCTCACAGAGGTGAGAGACCAGGTCAAAGGCAGCAACCTCAGGTCCGCAGTGGCAGAATTTCTTGCTGTGCCAAGTTTCATGCAGAGACGCTAGAGCACTGTGGGGATGTCCCAAGCAGCATCAGTGTGGCCACAAGCTGTACTCCCTGCTGTCAGTGCTGGCCGACCTCAAGGATAGATGTCAGACATAAGTGCCCATGAGTCCTCACTGGAGTGTAACTAGGAGGTGAGGGTCTAGGTCAGCAGAGGGAGAAATCTTAGAAACTATCCTGAGTCAAATTTAGACCTTGAGTTTGAATCCTCTGTTACATCACAGACCATGGGACCTCAACCTGCTCGTAACAGCTCCCACTCCTGGGAGACCACATTTGGCCAGATAAGGTCAACTTCACGTTCTCCTTTTGGTACTCAGAGAAGTTGTCTCTTACTGTGAGGAATTCTCTAGCAGTAGCCAAATTGAGGAACCCGAGTGAGGGCTCAAGGGACCATCCAACCCTGAAAAGAGGGGACATGAAAGCATCCATCCTAACCCAGTGGTATCAGCATGAGAAATCTCACAGAAAGGCTGTCAGGTTACCATCCCCCACACTTGTTTATGAGGACCAAGGGAGGTGAGATCCTTACATGGTCACCAGTAAACAAAATATGAGTTTTGAGAAGCCTTTCAGGGAGCCAAGGTAAGGAAGTTGACTGACACCTGAGGATCCAAGTGAACTCAGGATAGAAAAGACCCCACTCAGCTCTCAACACTGGGTGTCCTCTGTTTAGAAGATGGTCTGTAGCTCACCTTCAGTTCCTTCTCATGGGTCCAAGGAAGCTATGAGGTGTCAGTGTCAGAGTAGCAGAGGGGCGGGTGCCCAGACTCTGTTCACAGTTGACATGACAATGTTGAATGTGAACTAGGATGACCCCACATGCCAGAACACATTGGGTCCCCCCTGCCAGCACATGCTGTCTTCTGAGTAAACCCAGGGCAGGGCTGGTAGGAGGCAGGGAAAGACTCACTCTAAGGATGCCATGGTTCTTCTATGGGATTCTTAGGGGGCAGCCTGACCAAGAGAACGGGAGCCTAGTGGAGGGAACCTGCAGAGGCAGCCTTCAATGCAGCCAAGGTGGAATTGACCTATAGAAGTGTACACATCATCTTGTTCTCCATCCACCAGATACAAAATCACCTGTCCACTGGCCCACGCTCATGTCTGCCTCTCCGACCACAGCCATCATGCCTCGTGGACAGAAGAGTAAGCTCCGAGCTCATGAGAAATTTCACCATAGCAAAGCTCAGACCCAAAGTCTTAAGGAAACCCAAGTAGCTACTGCAGAGGAAGAGAAGGCCACTTCATCCTCCTCTCCTGATTGTGGGGATAGTCCCTCCATCTCCGCTGTGGCTGGCAGTCTCCCGGCACCTCCGAGTGTCCCAGCCACCATCAGTGCCACTGCAGGTGTTTCCTGCAAAAGATCTGATGTAAATGCCAACAGTCAAGTTCAAAAAAGTAAAAATTCTTCAGAGGCCTCACCTTCCACTGATATCTCTTGTCAAGATCTTCTAACTAGGAAGGCAAGTATGTTGGTACGGTCCTTGCTATATAAGTATAAAGTGAATGAGCCCATTGAAAAGGCAGACATGCTGAAGATTGTCCACAAAAGGTACAAAAAGCACCTCCCTGAGATCCTCAGGAAAGCCTCTGAGTACATGGATCTGGTCTTTGGCCTAGAATTGAAGGAAGTCCATCCCAACAGCCACTCCTATACCCTTTTCTTCAACTCAGATGACACCAGCATTGGGAGTCTGAGCAGTGCCTGGCGATTTCCTACAAAAGGGATTCTGATGCCTCTCCTGGGGTTGATCTTCTTGAATGGCAACCATGCCTCTGAGAAGGCAGTCTGGGAATTCCTGAATATTCTGGGCATCTATGATGGAAAGAGGCACTTCATCTTTGGGGAGCCCAGGAAGCTTATCACCCAAGATTTGGTGAAGGAAAAGTACCTAGAGTACCGGCAGGTGCCCAACAGTGATCCTGCACGCTTTGAATTCCTGTGGGGTTCAAGAGCCCATGCTGAGACCACCAAGATGAGAGTGCTGGAGTTTTTGTCTAAGTTCTGTGATACCATCCCCCGTGCCTTCCCATCTCACTATGAAGAGGCTTTGAGAGATGAGGAGGAGAGAGCCCGGGCTGTTTCTACAACCAAAGGTGGCACTACTTCTAAGGCCATTGCGTGCTCCAAGGCCACGTCCAGATGCAACTCTCACCCTGAGTGAGGTCTGAGGTGGACACTTCACTATGTTTTTAAAGGCCTGTTAAGCAGTGTTCCTAATATGCACAATATCTTGTTGTCTTATCTTTTTTGTTGTTGTTTTGCATTTTCAGGTGCTTTGTTTTCAAAGGAAATTACATTTAAATTCAGAATATAAGTTTATGAATGACATGGGTTACACATTAATTGCTGTGTGTCAGGTTTAGGAGTAAGATTTTGGTTTTTTGAAATACACATTGAAAATCCTTAAATCACTTTGTGATCCAAAATAAGATAGCAAGGATTTAGGGTAGGAATAAAGAACTCTACACTAAAATAGAGGGGATCAGAAGATGAAAAGACATACAGAGATAGATCAAGTAAAAATTGGTCAATTCTTGGTTTGCCTTACTCCATTCAGGCTTTCTTTTTGTAACTTTATAAAGATATGTACCTGGAATTGCTTATGATTTTCAATAATGTTTGAGAGTATAAACCATAATCTAGCTCGCTCTTTTTGGCTTTTATTTCACACAATCATTAATTGAGTATCATTGCTTTGGATGACTTCATGCTTGCACTGGAGATGTTGGTCAAAGAAGACTCAGCATGTGTCCACACAATTATAGATTCTAGGAGAAGCTATCATTACAAAAGAGGGTGAGATACACTAGTTCATGAGGAACAAGTCAAAAGGGCAGTAAAGGACAGTTGCAGACAGCATAGTACTTAGTTTTCATCAATAAGCAGAATTTTGGACACTTAAGAGGTTTTCTTTTTTTCTAGAACACTGCATATTTTCAGACATCTCTGTTATATGTAAAATAAAAAATTCCAACTGAATGGATGGTCACATGTGAGGTCAAGATACTCATACTAATAACTGCCATTCCCTAATGTCTTTATACAAGGCTGGCATAGTGACATGCTTTCTTTACATCACATATATTCTAGCAAACCTACAAGACAGTGTTTATCAGACTCATTGTATACTGGGCAGCCTGAGCCTCATAGAGTTAGCGTATGGTAATGTGCCAAAATTTATGGGGCAGGTAACTGGCAAGGCTGGAACTAGACAGCTGGTTTAAGTTACTGTAAGCCCACCCTGTTCTTCTCCTCCCACCCTGAGACACAACCTGTGCTTTTATTTCAGTTTTCCTCGCATTACTTCAAAACATATCACATGATAAAAAGAATGTCATTGTATCCAAACTACTAAGTTGAAAATATAGCCAGAACAGTAAGAATGCCAAAATAATTGAGAGGTATACACAAACAAAAGAGACAATATTCTGTGACATTATGATCATGTATATTTGCAATGTTAGATAACCTTTACAGGAAGCCTTTCATCCAGGAGACAGGAACCAAGATGAGGGCCCTATATAAGGGGTCTGTGGAGACCAACACCCCAGAATAGAGGGCTTCTGTGGGACACCAGTCCCATCTATTCTCAAACACAAAGGGAACCAGACAAAGCTGTATGGCGGAGCATACCCGCCCTCATTCTTCAGACTTTGCAGGGGCATAAGAGCCTTCGTCTAAGGGCAAAGTTGTCAGGTCAGTAGAGAAGGAGTATCAGGTTCTAATAGAAATGGCTGTGAGAAACCTGAATGAGATAGACGGAAGGAGGCAGCCAAAACAAGAGGATCCAATGAAGTCCCATCCCTGTGGTGAGCCCTGGGAGGTTCAGGACAGTCCTGGTTGCTCGTAGCTAACACTTACCTTTCAGTTGATTTCCCTGGGAGGTGAGGATTTTGTCAGAAAGCTATACCCTCACACAAGCACAGAGTGGAGTCCCAGGCAGGGAAGTTGAATAGTCAAAGTGGAGACCAGCATGGGACCACTGAAGCCACAGTTGACGAGGCTACACCTAACCCCCCCTCCACTGCTGTTATCCTTGGGAGGCACAAGCAGGAGATGACTAGCTCAAGTTCCCATTGGATTCTGCATTCAGGGACTCAAGGGGATGAGAGCCTTGGTGAACAGGCTGTCTTTTCAACAGTGAGTGGAAACACAGGCATGAGCGTGTCAAGGTGACAATCCTGTATGAGGAGTGAGGCAAACAAGTGTTGCATATGTCCGTTGCATGTCCCGCCTCAGTAGTTGTCCCTGGGAAAAGACAGGCAGAGCCTTCAGGCCTCAATTCCTGAAAGGGGATAGTTTCAGGGACGTGAAGTCTTTGCACTCATGGGGGAGGCCCCATACAGCAGAGGAAAGATACCTGGTTCCTAAGAGCACTCACCATGCTGACACTCAGTAGCAATGAGAGGATCCCTCCCAGAAAGAAGGGGGCCACATAGAGCCCTGTCGCTGTTGTCACAACTGACACCATAACACCTAGTCATGTTTGCATGATGAGTCATACTGGGTTTCTCTCAGAACACCTCAAGGATGTGAGGCATATAGTCAAAGGGGGCAGCCACAGATGACAAAAAGGAGGATTTCCACATAGTGCCAGGAGCCAAGGTAAGGACCCTGAAGACTGAAAGGCCCACCCACCTTCTAAGAGTGGGGGTCAGCACAGATTGCTTCCACTACTGCAATCCTTGGTATGCCAGGGACTGTTGTGGCCCGATGAGACAAACATCACTTCCTCCTAGGGTTTTGCAGGCAATTGAGGGCATCAGTATGAGGGGTAACCCTGGAGTCAAGAGAAAGAATATTTCCAGGTTGTGCCAGGAATCTGGGTGATGACAGTGAAGAGTGTGCGGTCACATGGCCCATATCATCCATGGCCACACAGAGTCTTGCTCACTGCTAGTTCAGGAGATCAAGTGCAGGGATGTCAGCCAGAGGGGCCCAATGGTTCCCATAAACAAGGAACAGGGAAGTGAGGGTTTTGGTCTGAAGGTGGAGGCTCCATGTCAATGGACGAAGGGATGAAAGACCTGTCTGGGATCAAATTTAGGACTTGAGTTGGGTCCCTGAGTGAGACCATCCCTCCTTTTGACTGAACCTGCCTGACACAGCTTTCAAGGTCACGAGAAAATAGGCAGGTGTGACCAGATAAGGCCACCCTTACTTCCTCCTGCTGAATCACAAGGAGGTGTGGACCTTACTATGAGGGATGAGTGTCAAGTCAAGGAGGAGGGGAGCTACAGGCCCTGTTAGAAGTAAAATCAGGGTGCCTGAGACAGTATTGAGGGGTCCACACAAGCCTGAATAGGGGAGACATCAGAGTCATGTCCCACCCTTTCATATCAGCTCTAGAAGGCTCAGGCCAGGGATACCAGGCGAGGTCTCCCACCTCACATCTTTATATCAAGTTTAAGTGAGGTAAAATCTTTCATTTGAAAGTGTGGCCACCAGGCCTCAGAAAGGAGGGGCATGATACGTGCCAGGCACCGCAACAGGTGCTTTATATTTACTACACACATTCCACCAATGCGACAAGACAGGGCTTGTCAAACTCAGTTCACAGATGAGGAGCCTGAGGCTCACTCACAGGGTTTAATAATGTGCCAAAGTTCACATGGTTGGATAGCGACAGGGTGGAAACAGGCCCTTGATTGGAGTTAGTCTGAAGCCCACACTCTCCCAATCCTCCAAGCCTGAGGCTGACCTTTTGTCTTTTAATTCACTTTTTTTCTCAATATTACAAAATATATTCCAAGCAATAAGAAGTAGGATTCACTGGCCAAACTGCTGAATTGGAATACATAGCTAGAGCAACAATAGTACCAAAATAAATGTGAGGTATGAATACAGGGGAAAAAGAGATAACATTTGCTGACAACACAATCATGTACATATGTGATATCAGATAACCTTAGAGATCAGAGACTTAAAATAATTGACCAACTCAGCCTCTTCTTTATAAAAAGTAAATCTAGAACAGAAGATTCCAGTTACATAAGACCTTGACGTCTGGCTGGAGAAGAAAAGGAATAGATTACCATGTTTAATTTCTCTTACAGCCCACCACTTGGGGCCCCTCGTTTGTGCTGTGGATTTCTCATATCACATCACTCCCAGGACAGGGACCCATTCCCTGCAAGGTTAGGAGTAGAGTTACTGCTCAGTTTTCAGAGATGTGTCAGTTCCCAAGATGCTTTTAATTGAAATGACAAGAACCGATATGAGGACACCTATGAATTAGGACTGGGGAAAGCAACATCCCAGATTACTGGATGTTATGAAGGATACAACCCCTGCCTGCCCTGAGACCTGGAAGGCATCAGGCAGAGTTGTCAGGCTGAGCACCACCTCACTTTTTCTTCACAGTTGTCAGGGATGTGAGAGCTTTGGTCTAAGGAGGGCAATCTCAGGTCAGCAGAGGGAGGTGTCAGACACGAATGTGAGGCCCCTTAAAATAATAAAAGAAGCACCCACCAGGACACTGGAGTCCCATAGAGTCCAGTCCCTGCTGTCAGCCCTTGCATATTCTGAATTCCATTGCAGTATGAAGTATAAAGAGGCTTTGATAGATGAGAAAGACAGAGCCTGAACTATAACTGCAGCCAGTCCTGATATTACTGCCAAGGCCAACCCATGTGCCAGGGCCAAGTCCGGCAGCACCTCCCACATCCAGTGAGGTCTCAGGGAGATTCTTCATCTTGTGCTTGAAAGGACAGCCCACAATTTTAAGTAGTTAAGTACCAGGGTGGAGCTGGAGTGAACACCTTGTATGTCTTCCTTTTGTTCTTGCTCTGCTTAAGGAACTGGGAGATTTATCTGCTTTTGTTTTGTATCACACCTTTATAGCTATTTTTCAGTGTAACTATGAAAGTTTTGGGATTTTGTACAACAAATTAAAAATTCTTGCCTCTCTTTTCATGGTCCACAACAAGGAAAATTGTTAAGGGGGTAGGGAATTTCTTGCAAATATGAATGAACCCTGTGGTAAAATTGTTAGGATCAAAAAATTTTTGAGGGCTGGCCGAGTGGCGCATTGGTTAAGAGCTGGCTTGGGACTCCAGAGGGCCCCGGTTTGGATCCCACATATGACGGCCAGTGACAATGCCCTCCACAGCTGA